TTATGAAGTTAAAGGAACGGATCCTCAATTACAGAAGGCCAGCTCTGCCACCTTTTAAGAAGTGCTATCTGAACCTTTTATAGACTGTTGTGTGAGGAAGTAGTTCAAGGCCTGATCCAGAGTGAATCACTATTTTCTTATCCAGAACATAAACCAGTGTGTTTTCAAGGGTTCTTTTGAGACTCCAGTTTTTCCCCCTTCTCTTCAAGTGTTGTCCTTCAGCTGTCACTTTCCCTTTTCTGTGAAAGGATGGGCAAAACTCTTACTGGAACAGAGTACTGGCAACCTCTCAAAGTCTTGATTGCACATTTTGGCTACAACCTGAAATTTCCATGTGCTTCCCTGAATTTTGGGAGGTTGAATGTCTTGAAATACTTCTTTTTCTTTGTTTATCAGATGATTTCCAGTATTTTCTGTGGGCAGAAGTGCCATAAACACAGCTTTTTTTGGTTTTCTCTGTTTCCTGTTCTCTTCTGTACTCCCAGAACCATAGATGTGTTTAATTTTAGATAGCCATTGAAAGTGAAGCAATTTAGTGAGGCAGGTTTGACATCCCAGATCACCTTCCTCTGAGCAGAGAGCTCTGACCATTAGGCTGAAGCCAGGCTCCTTCCTGCTTGTTTTACCTCCTAGCAGCATTCCTGAGCAGTCCACCATCAGCATGAAAGAAAAGGAGAATATCTTCACACCCAGAACCCAGCAGCTTTGTACTTAGGATGCCTTAGGGTGCAGGACCTAGGGATTCATCCTCCTCCTATTTCCTGAGGCAGAGGACTGTACCCCTGGCCTTTACCACAAAATGTGGAATTTAATCCACTACCTCTCTTCAAGAGGCAGAGTGGACACAAAGGTACTTGCTTTGAGGCCCTGATCTGAGTGGCTGTCTAGACATATCCCCTTCCTTATCAGCTGGCTCTAGATGTTTCCTTAGTGTACATTTAATTGTGTGCAGATGGGTATATTCACTCTTTATAAGGAGTATATCTTAATGTAGGCTTTTTGACTTATCCTCTGGAGGACATGGGCAAGATCCATCTCCGCTAATCTTTCAGGATATATCTGCCATATTCCTTGACCTCCCAAGAAGCATCATTGTTTCTACACAGAAAAGTTGCCATACAGAATTTGAGAAAACTGTTTGTCCAGGAAGTTTGGTGACCTGGTGGGAACTGCCATCGAGCAATTCCCTATAGCTGCTGCATTCTGTGCAGTAGGGCAGAGTATAGAGAGGAATCATGGACCCCGGAAACACTGGATTTGCTCTGTGCTTTGCTGTAGACCTGATGATTGTAGGAAGCCTGACGGACTCACTGTGCATGCACTTTACATAAACTTTGTGTTTGTACAGTAAAGATGCGTCCTAGAAACATTGAAGTTATCCTGTCTCTGCTACAGAGCGCACAAACACCTATTTCTCTCATGGAAATGCCAGTCAAAAGTGTGGTGGCCTTGAGATAAGAGATGCAGCTGTGTTTCTCATTCAGGACAATTTTTACCCCTTCCCTGTCTGTCCGTGTCTTCCTCCACGCCCCCATTCCCCCCAAAATTTTCTTTGTCTGTATTTCTTACAGCAAGAAGTAAGAAATCCTTCCTGACCGTCTCTGATGTACGTATTCAAACCTGTGAGGTATTTGGTACAAGGTAGCTGGAATCCAGTAAGAATCAGTTGGGCTTCAGTAAAACCACTGTTCAGAATTGGTCCTCTTCACTTTGGGTAACAGTAACTGCAAAAATTATGAAGTGTTTCCACAGTGCAATGAATTTGTTTTGTTCTACTTCCCTTTTTCCAGTTCTGCATAATATACATACAGCTTATTGGTTACCTTGTTAAAATGCTTTTAATATATAAAGAGTTCTATAAATCCCTAAAGCTGGTATTGTAAACCTGAAACCACTTTAAAGATTGCTTAGAGTTGAAATTAGTGATTATGTTGTACTAGGGCCTGTGCATATCCCAGGAATGGATTCCTGCTCTAACAACATACAGTGTTGAGTTAGATACGGCTTCTGGTCCAAAGAAATCACAGCCCTAGTAGACCAAGTAAGGGCACAGTAACAGAATATATAAGCAGTGTTCACAAATGTTATGATGATTTAAAGTGTGTTTACTCCTTAATTCTTTAGGAGGGATTTGAACAGGCGGGCATTAGTCAACTGGAAAGGCAGAAGAAGCAACAGGCTGGGGAAAGGGAGGCTCAAGATAGCAGAGAAGAAAATGGAAGAAGTATAATGACTGTGAGAAGCGACAGGGCAGAGGCTTTGCCAGGCACACAAAAAAGGGAGGTGGAGTAGAGTCACGGCAACATCTATCCGGACCAGGGAAACAGCAGAAAATAGCAAAATAATCCATAGGTGTCCTTAGCCTGTGGTGGAGGTGGGCTGCGGAACCAGCTGTGGCTGCATCGATGGGTCCTAACAAGCAGCTGGCTGGACTGGAAATCCTTTCTCCCCCCAAACCTGAACGGGTTCAAGATCCTCCACAGAAGCAAAGGGTTCACTCCTACACAGTTATGGATCTGGGAACTCATCATCCTTATTTCTTTCTTCTATCCCAGTGCTTGTAGGAACTTGGGTTTCTATGACATAGTGAAATACTCCCAATGTATTTCAAAGTAGCCTGCTGTCTAGCGCATGATAGGTTGGAAGAGGTACATGCTCAGTAGTTTTAGAAAATGAAGTATTTGTTCATTCTTTCTGAAGAACCACAACTATAGATTTAGTAACAGAATTCCAGGATTATTAGGTAGTTACTTAAATGTACTTACAGTACTTTATTCTTTGAAACGTTCAGGTCGTTGATCTTTGATCGCTGTGTTTGCTTTGCCAAGATTTCTGCAATGCAAAAAGGGAAACTGTCAGGCAAGAATATTTTTACAGTTTATTTTTCTTTCTCCTCTGAAGGTCAAATGGTCTTTCCTATATATAGCTACTACAGTGGTTGACGATTAATTCTGATAACTTTTGAGTCTATACCTCTGAAACGTGCCATGTTTTGAGAGGGGTACCTTGTGCTGGTGTCTGTCTCGGGGCTATTCTTGTCCTTTGGTGTGGTAGTCTTTATTAAGGAGGAAGGGTAAATTCAGCCCTTGTGTTTAAATCTTCAACAATTTCTACTTCTAAGATTCTGAGAAAGCAAAAGGTCAGAAAAGAAAATGAAAAGGGCAAAGTAAATAGCCCCAAAAACTGTCCACCTCCCACCTTTCTTCTTTTTGCAGCTCAGTACAGCATACAGCATAATTTGATATCCACTAGTCTAACACCAATTAACTTCATAAAGGTCCACTCCTTTTTGGAGAGCTCTGACAACATAGAAAAAGGAGAGCAGGCTGCCTCCTTAGCCAAGAGTCTTCCTGGAGAGACAAGGACTAGAAATCTCTGTGTCCTCTGGGCTTAAGATTCAAAGTCTTTTTCTAGTCCTGATACAGTTGGGCAGAGCTCTTTAAAAATGTATTAACTCTGTATCTTCTTTTATTTCCTCCCTGCCCCCCAAGCCTCTCCAACCCTATCTGGCCATTACGTGTGTCCTGCACAGACTTGCTCTGTCTTCACATTTATGATTGAAACATATTTACTTTGCTAATAAAAGTCATGAAGCCAACCCTGTAGAAAGGAACACCTATATTAAGGAAGAGATTGGTGGATTGTCAGGTTTCCTAGCTGAACAGTGTTGGCAACCCTTGTTTTGGGTATTTGACCTTTGAGTATTTGTTAAGCTGAAGAGTATTACAACTCTGAAAGAATGAATCCTCCAGCCTGAAAAGTCTAGTCATATGTTCAGAAAGGTATTGGTCACTGTTCTCAACAGCAGGGGAAAGTAAGCATGATCTTGACAGCATCTGGGTTTCTTGGACACCAGGAACATGTTCCTGTCCTCTTCTTTCACTCACTGGTGGCTGCCTTGTTTAGCCATGACAAACTACTGTAGAGATCTGCATAGGCTCATAGACTTCTTACGTATTCCCCTTCTTTTTGCTGCTTAAATATCATGCCTGTGTCTAGTGGTATGTCATCCTTTCACAGTTCCCAGCTTTATCAGTCTGTTAAATTTCCTAAATGATAGTCTTTACCAGAGTTCACAAGATTGACAGTGGTTACATTATTTGAGAGTATTGCTGGTACTTAACAGTCTTTGTAATTTTCTGTTGCTTGCAGGATGGCAGAAATGTTTTCTACCATATATAAAATCTAAAAAAAAAAACCCCAAAGTTATGATTCCTTATCTTTAATGTAGTCTAGTGAATATGTTTGGTGCACGATTTCCTTACTTGCAGCTATTAGGACTGAAAGTAGTTTCATAAATAGTTTATTTTCTGTTTCATTTTCATGCACATGCATGGGGAAGAGAAATGAGAGTGCCAGAAATATAGTGTGAGTAATAATTCTTGCCAGATGAGAAGTGGGAATGGATTGAGGAAAAACTCTGACAGTCTGGTTTTGGTGAAACTTCTCATTTAGTTAGAATAGAATAAAAATGGTTCTGATAAAGATGAGATTTCCCTGCCCTTGAATTTTCTTAACACTCACACCATGTATTCCCATATCACAGATTTTTGTGGGTTGGTGGGTTTTTATTTCCATCAAGCATGTTCCTTCTTTGAATTTTGATCTTACTCTTTTCATGCTGTAACAAGTTCTTTCTCTGTTTTTCACAGACTGTTTTTGAGAGGAACTGTCAATCTGATGACTGTGCTGCTGATTTGAAACTTCAGGGTAAATTATTGCTGTCTAGGTGAGTAGGTGAACTTTTTTCTCTATTTTTGTTTCTTACATGCTATTGTTCCATTCATTGTATGTAAGATGGCACTGAAAAATCAGAATACAAACACAGACTTTTTATATGGAGACTAGAAGGATGATGACAGTGATATTATCTTTAGTGCAGAAAGGTCTTGAGATGTACACAGAATCTGAACTCCTGTGCACATACATACACAAGACACCTTCACCTTCCCAATTACAATAGGCAAAACTGGAGAAAAAAAATAGCATATCAGAGAGGGGCAGGGAAAGTAAAGATGTGTGCTCAAATCAAGTACCGATGTGGACCAATTTCAAAGACGATAAAATACTGCTTATGACATGGTAAGAGTTCAAACTGCCTGCAGAAAGCAGTTTTGTTCAGAAGATGTCACATGGAAGGTTAAAAAAAAGCCCTTCAGAACATGGAAAATTATCTTCTTCAAATTATCTTTTTCTGAACTTGTAGTTTTGCTAACTCTCCTGAAATACTGCTGCTCTTTTGTCAAATTATTCTTGTTGGTAAATTGGGGAGGTGTATCTGATTTCACTTTCTTCTGGGATAATAAACCTCATCAAATAGACCAGAGGTGAAGTTTATGTTCTGTCCCTTGTGAATGGTGATCCTAGGAAAATGCCTATTGTTTTTCCAGGATGAAGTTATTCAATTTCGGGATAAATCAGGCTAAAGGTGAACTTTACACATCACTTCTGTTTCCTTTTTTTCAGCATTTTTAGCACATTTTTAGAAATGGAAGTGCTGATGCGAGTTATTTAATTGTGTGCCAGAGGTTTTGCTGTTTGACAGAGATGCTTTCTGTGAAATGCTTTGCTTTCAGGAAAGTGAGGGGAAGAAAATCCCCTGCTTTGGGGGAAAAAAAAAGGTGGCGAGGGGGGAGAAGTAATAGTCAGGAGATACACACATGTTTTATGTAAGTCTACAGCGTGCTGTAACTGTACTTGGAGACAAAACTGAACCAGAGACAAGTCTGAGAAGTTACGGACTTCTCCAGACACGACTGAAGTCCACAGGAATGTTTCAGGGGATTGGCTGGGAGCAGGGTTAGGTCTCAGGTTGCAGAGTCCGAGCTTTGACTGCGATTAGTCTGGATTTTTGACCTTTCATTCAATCTTCATGGTGAGCAAAATCTGTTGAGAGCTGGAGATGTCTCTGTGCAGATGAGGGAAGCCAATGAGGGATTTTGTCCTGCAGCTGAGGAATAACCAATAAAAAGAAAAGTATGGGACAAGTCCTAAAAACTTGTCAGTCAGCGTATATAGTCACAGCAGTAAGAGCTATGTTCATGATTAGAGCATTAGACTGTTTATTTTTATGGCTGCTGTTTCTACAACTGTCAAAAAAGCTTAGGATATTCAAATACAGTTTCTATGTTTGTATAGCAAAATGTTGAACAAATGCTCTTCAAACCTTTATGCAGTGATACTCTGAAGTCCTGTTTGAAATAAACAGGATGTCGTCAAATCCATCAAGTCTGCACAGAATGGGTTTTCTTTAGCTAAAGGGCTGGGTAAGCTTTAGTTATTGAGAAACATAACACAATGGGAATCTTTAAAGAAAACAGATTTTTTTATTATTATTATTGCATGTAAAACTACAAAAACATGCTATGGATTCTGATTTTAGAGAAGTGCCTGTCTTGAAGAATATGGTAATTTTTTCAGCCCCATGGGTTTCATGATAAAGAATCCGATCAGTGTTTTTCCACATTATTCCTGTTTATGCTAAATCTGTGTACCAAGCATTTTTTTATTTGTAGAAAGAGCAAAAAAGATGACTCATTTTTTACTATCTGCACTAAACAATTGACTTCATTGTTAGCAAGGTTATGGCAATGCCTTTGTCTAAATAATCACGTCTGACTAAATTTCATGGATTTATTATTGGAAATAATGCAATTAATGACACACAGATACATTGGATTGAAATAGGATGTTTATGGGAAGGCAATGGTAAGTGCTGTCTCAGATCTGTTGCAGCTCTTTGAAGATGTCACTGGACGTGTGGATAGGGTGATCCAGTTAAGATCATCTGCCTGGGCTTGCATAAGACTTTCATGGAGTTTTTTCACCAAAGGTTCACAAAGAAAGTAAGTTTCCCAGGTCTGAGAGGAATGGTGCCCGACTATTACTACCTAACTAAAAGGTAGTCAACAGAGGGAAGGAGTAAATAATTTGTTTTCCTGGTGGAGAAAACTCCGCAAGTGCTTGTGCTGGGGCCGGTGGTATTCAGCATATTCATAAATGATCAGGGAAATAATCTGCTAAAAATGAATAGCATGGTGATAAAGTTTGCTAATCATAGTAGACTATTCAGAGCAATGAAAAGAACAAATGAGGAGGTGTGTTTTCATGAAGTGTGTGACTAATCTGTGGATTTTACTGTTGAGTATGTTGTAAACTCTGAGAGTTTACGTGGTAGAGAAATGGCAAATACAAATGCTGGAAGCTGCCTAAATGATCATCAAAATAACACTCTGTGCTTGCCTTGTTCTTCTGTAGGCCTCTCGCTTTTACATGGTTGGATACAGGATTCTCTGCTAGATGGACTGACTTGGTCTGACTGTTCTTACATACTTTTCATGAATTTATAGCATGTTAGAGACGAAAGTTGTGCAGAGAGCTATGTATTGGAAGTTCTAGTTTTGTCCATCACTATATATAATACACTTTCAAACACATGCTAGTTAGACCATATATGTGCATAAGAAGTTAGCTCACATTACATTATCATCAAGAGAATTGCTTACCAGCTCAGGAAGTGCACAAGCTACCCCAATTTAGAGCTCACCTGGGATGCGTTTGAATCACTAGAATTACCCGGTTAGAAGATTGCACCCAGCTTTGAAGATGCCAAACCCGTATTGCAAATGACTAGTAGGAAAACCAGCCCATGCTAGCAAGAGCTAACCAGGTCTGCTCTGATTTTGCTTTTCTTGGGATCCTCCTTCTCTTCTGAAAACTTATTCACGTGCCTTCAAATTGGGAGCACTGCACTTTGATAAATAACAGATAGACAGCCCGGGATGTTAACACTTGGTCTAGGTAATGACCTAATATATGGCCATTTATCCAAAGTGCTCGAATCAAGCAAATCTGCATGTGTAAGTTAGAAACTTCACTGCTGTTCCAACCAGATATGATTGGGTTTGCCTCGTTATTTCCAGTTGTTGGGGTGCTGCTGCATATGGAAACAGCGCTGCTGGGCAAGCTGAAACCCTCCACTGTGAAGTTGGAGAAGAGGGTAGGGTAGGAGTTCTTGAAAGTGGACGATGACAAAAAACCTTAAAGCCTTCTAACTCTGTCTGGAAGCTTTTGCAAGGATTTGGGAGGGTGGCGGTGGGATGTGGTGGTAATTCTGTATTCTGTTTTTTTGAATGCCTCTGTTATAGTGAAAGATGTCTTTGGAGACTTGGGCTGAAGACCAGGGGAACATGTTATACTGGAGTGAAGAGAATGCATTATTAGAATGCATTTATTCTGGAAAGAAAAAGGTTTGTTTTCAGTTAACAGATGAATCTCTTTAAGGCTTGTCCACCTTCATTAGCATCAGTTTGCATGTAAACCCGTCCCAGCGTCATGAAGGGATTGTGGAACAAGAGAGCCAAACTCTTCCTGCTTGTGGCAGACGGCAAGAGTCATGGACTGTGGCTTGGCAGGTTCAGACTGGAGATTTGGAAAAACCTTCTTGTGTAGGCAGTTTGTGCTGCATGGGAATGAGGTGCGCAGAGACTGCGTGCTCTGCCGTCGTGGGTTTCAGGACTTGGCTAGATAAGGTCCCTGCTGACCTCAGCTGTTGCTGGCAATAGTCCTGTGTCGAGGAGGATGAGGATGGATTGTATGACCTCTAGAAATCCCTTCCAACCAACTTTTCTGCAGTTTTCCAACTTGCCTCTCTGTAACCTGAGCAAAATTGCCTGAAGAAAAAACAGCTCTTCTCCAACATGGAAACACCTGCCTAGGATGGTGATGGGTATCTTCCAGCACTGTGGCTGGAAACCTGCCTGTGGGACTCCTCACCTCTTGCTGATGCCACCTCTGCCAGCAAGAACATGCAGCATCACCAGAGGGGACAGTAATATCAAAGGCTGGACCTGGCAATGCAAACTGTGGGGATTAACTTTCTACAGCAGACATTATGAGACAGCATGTAAACAGCTACAGTGGTGTGTGCTAGTATTGCTACAAATGATCTCTTTAATGGTTGGCCCGAACTTATAGCAGTATAACTGTTTGTTAGCCTAAAACTACAGATGGCAACTTAAGAGTAAAGAGAAAGGAGCTGTGGAGTGTGCTGGGGACTTGGTGAAGGCAGTGTTGGCGGAAACTGAAGGAGCAAAAGAAAGGCATGTCCTCTTTCCAGTCATGACTGTTTTCAAATCCATTTTTCTTAAAGCATAAACATGTGAGGTTTTGGCAGCACAGAGCAGAGAGTCTACTCATTGCCTCCCCTTCAAAGTCTCCAGTGTTAAATCTTGTGGCTGTCATAGGAGATAGCAAAATCTGGCACTATCCATGCCATAATGTCCGGGGGGTGGGGTGGGGTGAGGACATTTCTAAAGGAGGAGACTTAAAAGTATCTTAGTGTAAAGAAAGTATTTATGTATTGTATACGGGTAACTTTAGTGATGCAATCTGAAACCATAAGAGAAATAAGAATAGAATATTTTGTAATAAACTTTATTTTTACAGCCATAGGTTTGGGACAGCAATAGGAAACCAGTTTTCCTTTCCAGCAATCCAATACTGAAAAACAAAATGCAATTAGAGAGTGTTCTGTTAGCTATTATTTTCAAATATTGTTTAATAATAAAGATATATTTATTACATATCATGCTGTAATGTGGTATGTAATGAAGTTCAGCACAACTTCAATGCCTCACTCCGTTTTCTCAGCACAGCAAATGTCTTTTCCATCAGGTTTCTGTAGCAAATAGCACATTTTTATTGAACCTCTCCATAGCTACTTGTTTA